AACTGCAGGTAACAGCAATGTTGGAGAGGAGGTAGATCAACTGAAACTCTTGATTATACCAGAGGTGGGAGTCAACATCAACACAGGCTCAAGATAACATTAACTGGCAGCATTTATCACCTTTCAAACCAATTTGGGTTATAATATATCGAAATATCAAAGTGAAACTCCCTGTATAATTATTTTAAACAAACAAAATCATGTTTTCTCAAAAACAAAGGACAGGAAGGTAGAAATATATACTTATGTATGAAAATGGAAAAATGAGACCTGTTGAAACTATTCTAAGGGGGAGAGAAGGGATTAAAAGAGAATCATTGGGGTAAATGCACTAAAGATATGTTGTTAAAACTTTTGTAAATGTCACAATGTGTCCTCCAGTATAATAATAACATAATAAAAATAAAATTAAACTTAGGAAATTGCAAGAAAGATAAAAAAGGGACGTGAGAAGGGAGATAAGAGAGCAATAGAGGGTGTTAGTATGCTCAAGGTGTCTTGGGTGCATGTACAGAAACATCACAGTGAAAGTTTCACATTGTGCAGTTAATGTGTTAATAAAGATGTTAAAAAAAGACTCAAAACCCAAGAAAATACACGTTCTCTTTCACTCAGATATCTCATTTCTTAATATCCATTAGAAATGCACATGTATGAAAATATCTGCAAAAATTATTTAAAGGAACATTAATGCAGTTTTAAGAATTTTTTTTTTGGTGGTTCTGTGGTTTGAAGTCCAGGCCTCACACTTGCTAGGCAGAGGCACCCTGTGACTTCAGCCACTCCATCAGACCAAATTTTTTTGTTTTTCAGTGAGACTGGAGTTTGAACTCAGTGCTTCACGTTTGCAAAGCAAGCACTCTACTGCTTGAGTTACACCTCCCTAAGAAAAATTGTAATTAGAATTGTTTAACATTTCTATCATATATTCTAGTATTTTTGAAGTCAAGGTAAATTCATCTTGGTAATCTGATCATCAATTTTTTTTTTGGTGGTACTGGGGTTTGAACTCAGGGCCTCATGCTTGTTAGGCAGGCGCTCTACCACTTGAACCACTCCACCAGCCCTCATCTTGGTAATCTGAAACATGATAATGTTTTTCTTTATGGGACAAATAAAATTATTTTAATTATTTTAAAACTGTTATTCTTAATTGTTCAAAATGCAAATAACTTATTCAAGTTAAATAAATTTCTTATCTATGTGAAATCTACAAATCACTCAGAGCAGTTTATTTATTTTCATAGCATGTATTGATTTTTTCTTTTCCAGTTTCTTTGCTTTTTTATAGTTTTGCCTATAAATGACTCTGTATTACTTAATTTTTGCTGTCTTTTACAATATTGCTTATAAAATTTGGACAAAAGTTCATTCTTAATTCCGTGTACTATCAAAGTATTGCTTTTATATTTACAATAAATTTTCTTTAAATATTTTAAGGTATGGAAATGATGGTAAAGCTTAAAAAGTTAATGATTCCTCAAGTTCTGTAGTGGGAATTTTCAAAGCAAAACTAACTTTTGTTCTGTTGCTATCACATGCCTTCAGCAAGTTTTCATTTCATAGCTAATTTTAGCCCCTATATATATTGATACTTCTCTTGCCTGAGGGCTATAAGCTTAAATAGAGTCTCTGATACAGAGCTCACCTCTGACTTGGAAGGCCATGGTAAGGTAAGGAAAGAGACAGTCTAACTCTGCCACTCCTTTCCTTTGGTTTTGTTTTAATAAACTGGTAACAGGAGGCAAAAATAGAAAGCTAAGAATTGAATTTTGTTGAAAACATGATTTCACAATGATGGAATTCATTATTAGTAATGGTTTGGATACTGTTTGTACATCTGTAAATATTTCTCCTAACCCTAAGGAAAAATGAGGTGATTGCTTCATTTTGGAATAACTTCATAAGTCTTCAAGCTGAAGTGACTCAGGAGGTTCTGAATATAGAAAAATCAGTTTAGAATTATTCGTATGAAAAACAGGATAATAGCTACTGGATAATTTCGACTTTTGTTGTCACTTCCTCAATATGTGTAAAAGACCCTGTTATCAAGGGTAGAAAGTAACTAAGGCTTTATTTGCTTTGGGAATATGTAAATATAAGTACAATCATCATCCTATATATTAAATAAAAGATTGTTAGTACATATGTGAAATGTTACCTACCACTGAAAATGGATATATCTAATTCAAAGATTTGCGTTTACTAGAAGCATTAACGTTTCAAAATTAAAATAACTTTCAGAAAATTTGTGAAATATGAAATATAATATGTGTTAGCTCTAAAGGTACATTAGTGTTTCTAAATGCATACCTAAGTGAGGAAATTGCTAATGTTTTCTTACTTACTCTGAAATGAGTGTTTCAGAATTATGTTGCTATTTTGAGCTTCAGTTGAGGAAGTGAGCTTTGGAAACTCATTTGCCAGAAGCGAGCACACTTCCTCTACGACCTTTTTTTCTGCAAAATGGTAACTACACTTTGTTTTGTAGACAGTATTTGAGAACAAAATAATTCTATAGAGCTGAATAATAATTAAGTGAAACCTGAAATATGACTTCAGAAAAGGCTATTTATGTGAAATGATCTTGACAAAAGCCAGACTGAATATTATTAAAGAATAAATTAAATTTAAAGAACGTTGACTTTTCACTGGAATTAAAACATATTATACATTATTCCTTTTAAAGTCATTTGAACTAGAAACATTTTCCAACAAGGAAACAATAAACAATACAGTAAACTACCTATCCTCATTACCCAGACTCAACAAATATCATTAATTTGTCATTCTTACCTCATCCATTTCCCTTTCCTCTACTCTATTTTTCCCCTTAAGTATATTAAAAAAATTCTAAAACTTATTTTCAAACCACTTTTCTAAATATATTTGAGAAACAAGAAGACAAAAATGATCAAGATTTTATTTTTAACATCACCATAATTCTATTACCTCAATAATAAAAATTTCACTGATTCCATATTAAAATATGATACCTGTGCTATATTAAAATTACCAGAATTTCTCAAACATCTTTTAATTTTGGCTGTGATCAAATTAGGATCCAGTTAAGGTCCCCTCAATTTATTTTATTATCTTATTAACACACATGTAATTTGCAACCTTTACTTTTTCCTATTTGTTTATTCATTATTAATAATTTGGTCATTGTAAAATGTTCCAGATTCTGAATAGTGCAATTTTCATCCTTCACCTATCTTTTGGTTCCTCTTCTTTCTTACCTTCATTTATCATCTTTTTATATTTCAATGTGTTTTGGAAAAGATTGAGATAGAATATACTGGATATTTGTGATTGTGTTTGTGTATCTGGTTCTGCCTATCCCTGTCTGTGATGTTTTACATTTGCATTTATTAACTGCAGCATACAAAATTAAATATTTAACTACTTGATTGGTGGAAATTGGAAAGATCAAGGCCATCCTGAGCAAAACATGAGAGACACTGTCTGAAATATAACCTAAAAAAAAAGGGGTTGAAGGCATGGCTCAAGTGGAAGATCCTAAGATCAAACCCCAGTACCACACACACACACACAATTATGTACTGAATAATCTATGCCTCGAGGTCATCTGTGCTTTGGGGGCCTTCAAACCAGTGACTCATTTCACACATGCCATCTTGGCAGTGGACACCCCTCCAACCACTATGAGCAAATGCATGTAACATCTTGGGTTTCAGAATGTTCTTTATAATATATACTCTATATGGTGGCAATTTTTTTTATTTTCAATAAACAGTGTTTGGTTTCTGTTCTTATTTTAGGAGTCTGTTGATTTAAAAATCTAGTTGGTGAAAAGAAGTATTGGGGCAGGAATACAAACCAGAATACAGATTCATTGTACTTGAAAGAAAATACTTTCTTCTAATTTTAATTGGTTTCTTTTCTGTTTTGCTTTCTTACTAGCTTTTTATTTTGATATCTAAATTAACAACTGTAGATTAAAGGCAAAAGGGTGGTGTAACTATTCATTCTTAGCAGAAATAAAGCACTTTCATTGGGCTACTGAAATAGTTTAAGTGGGAGAGAGCCTATATAACAAGCAAGAAGCCCTGAGTTCAAATCCCAGTAGCACAAAGAAAAGAAAAAGAATGACACATTCTTTAATCTATAGATTTTGCCACTAAAATTCCTAACAATATCAGTTCTGTTTATGTTACCTTTATTTTCTCAAGTTTTAAGGGCTAAATATTTTCATATTGAGTAAGCATAGAACATCTTACCTAGAGAAAAAGACAGTGCCTAACCTGATTAAACTATATCTTTTTAATATACTTCTCTCTCATACTTTTTTGAAGTTTGCCATACTACACACCTGCTTCCTCAAAGCTGGCCATACATTTTTTTTTAACTATAGTGCTTTTGTACAACCTTTTTCCTCTCGTTCTAGAAAAATTTGTCTAGACGTTCACAACTGGCTTAAAGACAACTTCATCTATCAAGTTTTCCAAGATCCTCCCAGATTTGTAACTATTCCTTTTGTTTCATCACCATAGCAGTCTATACATATCTATTTTAAAGAACCTTATTTTGCTGTGGAAAATGGTTATTTATACCTCTAACTCTTCCCCCTGAAATGAAGTCATGACATTTATTTTCATTAACTGATTCTTCATTTATCTAAGAGCCTAGGTATATTATTTAAATATATTAACGAGGGAGTTAAGTGAGGAGGTGGGGGGAAGGGAGGAGAAATGACCCAAACATTGTATGCACATAAGAATAGAAGAAAAAATAAATAAATGAAAAAATTATATATATCCCCACCAAAAATAAATAAATAAACAAATAAATAAATTAAATTCTGGAAGGCCAAGTATTATGGATATTAACTCTAGAACACCTGCTGAAATGATTATATCTTAAGGCAATAAAACTTATCTTTCTTTTTCATGGTGTGCTTTTGAAAGAGTATCATTCATAGAGTAAAATTTGAATATTATTAGAATATGTTATCCTCTACTGTCCTTGAATTTTAGGTATGATCCCAAAACAGATACCTGGACCATGGTGGCTCCTTTAAGTATGCCCAGAGATGCTGTTGGGGTCTGTCTACTAGGTGATAGGTTATATGCAGTTGGTGGCTATGATGGACAGACATACCTCAACACTATGGAATCCTATGATCCACAAACTAATGAGTGGACACAGGTAAGATTTCCCTCAGAATAAATTAATTCAAGTATGAATTTGTTTCATTTACTTCTTTGGGGAAAGAGATAGAAATAATATACTATCTGGTTAAATTACACTGAATCAAAGTCATAGATTTTGCCCTCTATTGTACTATGATTGGGCAAAATATTGTTCCATCATGTTTTCTATATTTTTTTCATGTATGCAATCCTTTAGTAGATTGATATTTCAATGGAAATATGTTTCAAAGTTTAAATGGAATTTCCAGTTTATTGTAAGTTATAATGAAGAACAGGAATTGGAGTTCACTGAAGCAAAATGAAATCTTAACATAATTTATACCTGAAATATTAAAACCAGGACACTTGGCTTTAGAAACATCCAGAATGAGGACATGCAGGGCTGCGTGATTCAACCTTTTGTCCAGTCATTTTTATTTGATTGTGTTTATCAGGTCCATTTTTACATACTAAAAAGTAGTTTTCCACTTAATAGAGCTGGTAGAAGCAGCAAGTAGCAATCTTCACACCCATAGCAACAAATAAAATAAATTTTTTCCCAATTGTGTTAAAAAAACAAATAGCAAAGAGCTATAAGTAGTCTCTCATTTGGCAAGTGGTCACTCAATAATTACTTTGCCCAGAAGCCTGGAGATAAATGAGGCATTCTCATTAAGGTGAGGCATTCTCAATTGAATATGCTCTCTAGTAAGAGACTCAGGATGATAGTGGAATGTAGGGGGTCCTATTCTCATTGTAAAGCTAGAGGATGTGTGTTGGGATGTGTGTGTGTGTGTGTGTGTGTGTGTGTGTGTGCACGCACGCGTGTTATGGAGAAGAAGATGAAGACAGGGTAACATAGTTAAAGTGGAAAACACCTTAGGCTATATAGCTACCATGTCCTTGCTTATAATAGAGGGAATGGATACAGTCTTAGAATTGTGTCCTGCAATTCGATTGTTCTTTCCTTTTCTTTTCTAAATATATCAGTATTTCTACTATTTCTCTCCTTAGTCAGAAATCTGAAAATAAAATACTATCCAAATAAATAAATAGCTTCCATAACTGAGTGCAGGGATATTCCAAAGTCTTACTTAGCTGAAGCACATTAATAGATACACTTCATATGTTTCCACTGGATGGAAGTTTCTGATTTTGGCCATCAAATTTACTTTGTGGCTAAATTTTGTGGGATTTTTTGTTTATTTATTTATTTGTTTGCTGACTTTATTTTCTTTTATTGACTCCTACTTTCGTTGATGGTGACATTACTATTGAAAAGCTAACTGTAAGCTTATTTTTTTCCAGAAAGAGCATAAGTAGGAAATTTTTTAAATACTTTGGCATAACAGAAAAACAACATACCTTTCATGCTGTACTAAGCCTTGGCGTTTTATTAGGAGTAAGAATCATGACTTTTCTTTAGGTTACCCAAAATATAGTACAAGTAAGCCAATCTGAAAATGATCCCCAAAGACCCCTCTGTAATCAGCCAAAGCAGGCCTTACAAAGCTTGTGTATTACCATTGGAGGGGCAGAGCTCAGTGCCCTTTCAGAGCCCAGGTGGTTGCACTCATTAATTCAGTTAACTGTTTTCCCACTTCATAACAAAAGCCAGAAGGAACTGCTAAGGGAGGGCACAGTGGCATCAAGTATGTGACTGTGAGGAAGCAGAAGAAACAAAATTGTGGCTAAATTTTGGAATAAAATTTATTTGAAAAACAAGAAAAGTGACTGAAGTAAATTCATTTTAATGATAAGTATCTTCCTTGATTATTCCAGCTTTAATAATATATATTTAAATGTGTTATTTAGACAGGCTAACTTAAAAGTACAAAATCAAATTCCTAATGGTCAGGCTTTGGTGCCTGCTATATGAAGCACCCTCATCACCCTCACCCCTGAACCGAAACTCTAGAATTCAAGAAAAATAGATACTTTGGGCTGTGAAGGAAAACTACAGGAAAGAAAGAAATATTGGAATTACATTCTGTTACTTTCTACATCTTACTTCACTTGTAAGAGAAGCATTCTTTATGCAAAGGGAGGCCAGTAGTGGTTGCTTTTCACATTGCACTAAAATTTTAAGGGATACATTTTCATGTTTTCCTTCTCTGAGTCTCTAGTGTTTCCAAAGGGAACACAGCATGGATTAATGATTGTTGATTGACAAAAAAGGGGCTAGCTCAGTGGTATGTGTTTTAGATGTACCACTTATACAAATGAATATTAAATAAATGAATTTTATGGGTCTATTAATGGTATAGCATAATATCTTCATTACATATTTATAAGAAAGACCTATTATACTTGCCATTACTCTCAAATTGAAATCAAAATAATGTATGTTGTAGTAATAGGTAAAAGTTTCCTAAAGACCATTTTCCTTCATTCATATTTTATTATACTCTTATGGATCATACAGTATCTTACAAATAGCAAGGTAATATTTAAAATGTTTTATAACAACTTTACTAGTACAGTAAACATCAATTTTAGCACTCTTAAATTACTTTAAGATTTTACGTCCATATCTTTCATTATTCATTTAAGATTTTCAAGGGACTATTATCAGACCCACACACACACAAAAATTTAAAACTTTTAGGATTTCAGCCTGCTAGAAAGATTTTCCACACTTGCTGGATAATTCTTGTCACTTTATCTCCATTTATTCCCTAAGCAGATGAAATCTATTGGTTACCCCTATGTCACTGGCCCCCACCACAAATGGCTACTAATTACTTTAAATAAGCAGACAAGATGAAAATACCCAAGAATGTGTATATTTGGAAAATATCCTCGACTAACTAGAAGTGGAAATAATTATGGACAGATATTAGAGAGGAACTGCTTATGTGTGTTTTTGTTTTTCAGGGAACACATACAAGTGTGCGTATGCATGTGAGTGTGTTTACAATAAATTTTACTTTGTTGCTTAACATTGAGCTCATTTCTTACATTGAGATTTGAAAACAATAATATGTATGTTTGAAGACATAAAAACAACTCAGTTCCATTTCTCCTCACCTGGGTAAATTTCATGTGTTGTAGCATACAGTCATGGTGCTGTCACACTGTGTCTATAGGCATGATACAAGAAATAGCCAATGAGCAACTTGCTGTCCTGTCTCCAAAGATTAGTTACCGTATTTGTTAGCATGATGTCGAGATATATGGATGTTTATCATGTAAACTAATTGCAAATTGTTACTGTAATTTGATTTACCCTGCTTTGTATAAGCTTTGTTTATTTGTACCTAACTCATACAGGAAATTGAGAATGAATTTCTGAGAAGCCTGTGAGATACCTAAATTCTCACTTGTCTGTGCCTAACTGATTCTATGGCCAACTTTTTTCGGGTTATCATATGACTCGTTGAAATTTGTAACCCCCAGCCAGAGAACAGGTCAGATTTTAAAGAATGTATTAAACTGGACAAAAGGGGAAAAATAAGAAAAAATTATTTAAATGCTTAAAATGTATTTATGTGGCAAATATGAAATGCTTAAAATAGCATTATAAATTCTTTGGCAGAGGAAATTTTTAGCAGAATGATAGAACCTAAGTCTGATGGGTAGAAAACTGTTCAGGAAATGATTAGGTGGAATGAGTCACAACAAATAGGTAACCAGATAAAAATCTGGGGAGTGCTTTGGAGTGAAGAAAAGCATTTGTAAGACATGGGGAAGAAACACGATATATTTCATAGAAAGAGAAATAAAGTGGACAGCAATGAGTTTGGGGTTATATACAAGTTCTGCATTACATTTGGGCAGAAACCATGCTAAGGAATCTTGATTTAAATAGTTAATGAAAGATTTTAAGCAGACAAAGTGAATAATCAGAATTGTATTTTAAAATGATGCACTTGATAGGAAGCAAAAAATGATAAGAAAACAAAATTAGAGAGAAACTATTAGAAGAACATTTTTCTAATATATTCAAGGTAACGTTGCAACCTAGACAAAGTGGGAAATGGAATGAATGAATGATACTGATTGGAAATCAATCAAGAAGACTTGATTATTTTCCAGATGTAGAATTGAGTGAGGTTAAAAAAGGAAGGGTTCACAGAAGAGATGGTTTGTTTCTGTCTTGAGCAATAGGATCAAGAGTGGTTTCTTTCACAAACATAGAAGCCAGAAAAAAAAGGATATTTAAAAAAAATAGGACTCATTTTCCCACACACAATGCACATATGCAGGTCCAGACATACCAAAATAGAAGTAGATGTAGATACAAAAAGAAGTTACTCAATCTACAAATAGTCTAACAGTACTTCTCAGTACCAAATTGTACATCAGAGGACTTTGAGGAAACTTTTCATCCCACTTCAATATAGTCTAAATTCAGCATAGGGTTAGTGCCTATATATCTTATGCATATATTTTGTAAAAGCTCCTTAGGTGATTTTGATGTGAAATGACACTTAAACCTATTTAGATAATGAGAGAAAATGAAAAGTACATATATTTTAGAGTAAAAATGTACTTCAATTTGTATACTTTGATATCCTCGAATTGATATACTGTCTGTTGATATTTCACCACTTTCTGGTCATATGAATCATATGGCTATAACAGTACACAATGTGACTATGAAGATGACTGTGTGGTGGTCTATAAAAATTATTCTTAACATGAATTTTCAAGTAGTCACATGCCCCTTTCCTCTTCTCATCTTAGTCAATAATTGTACAAGGAAGATAAGCAGTGTTACATTAAATTATTTTTGTCCAAACAATGTATTAATTGAAATGAATAAAATTTAATGTTGTATGAGTTTTTTTAAATCATCAGTGGGATGATGGGTAATAAAAAATACTTTTGAAAGAACTGTAGAACTGATAATCATTGATGCAATTTCCACATTTAAAAAGTAAGTACATGTCCTTTCTCAATCAATAAAATAATGTACACTATCAGAAGATATTTTCTTTTTACCTATATTATTTCTTATATTATCATCCCTTTCTTTTCAGTTCAAAATAATATTTTATTTTCTAGTCTACCCTGATATCCTTAGAAAAACATAATATAAATTCATATTAAAAACTCAGTTATTAAAATTTTGGCTTACATCTAAAGAATAAATTTTCATTAGAAACTCAATAAAATTATTATTTTAATATATGTCTAGCCATTTTTACATTCAGTATTATTTTAAAAACCTCAGTTTTAATTTTAATGATTATCATAAGATGAAAAAAATTGATGTCATATAGCAATTGTAATAATGGCCCATTTTTGACAAAATACTGAAGTTATTTCATGTTATGTCTGTGACTAGAATAATGAATAACATATTTAATTCAATGTAAAATCTTGAGAAATAACTTCAGAATGATTGCAGTAAGTGTAATAGCTATTTCTTCTAAGTTATACTCCAAACTATCACTATGGAATATGCTCACAAAAATATCTGTGCAAACTCCAGAATAAATTTATGTTGGAAACTTTCCTATAGTAAGTTCATTTCACTGAAAATCTATTATTTTACTAAAAATTTTATAAGTTATTGCAGTTTTCAAATTTTTTAATATACCAATCATTGCTTTTTTCAAAACAGAATTTTCAATATTTCCATTTTATTGTACCACTTGTGTCTGAAAAGGGAAAGTGTATGCACATTATTTATGATTTTCATGTATATTAACCTTTAAAAATATTATTTTCATATTTTATTGTGACCATAAAATTTGTCTTAACTAGCGTTTCATCTTTTCAACAGATGGCTTCCTTGAATATTGGGAGAGCAGGTGCCTGTGTGGTAGTCATCAAGCAACCTTGACTTATTGTTCTTTATTTGGAGGCATTTGATTTGCTGGAGTGGTTATTTTTATATCATATGGCAAGAAAGAGTACTTCCCGAGATGAAAACTCTTCAAGAACAAGGATTTCTGTAGATTTACTTGCTGATGTCAAAAGCAGTAGAAGATCGAAGAGAATTATAAGAAAGATGAAAACATCAAACTGGTATAAGAACAATTTCTGGTCACATTAGTTACTTCAGGAATGGTTACTGGTACTTTGTTTTGTATTATAGCATACAGAACCTAGAGTTACCAAAGGCTTGTTTTTCTTGAACAGTTGAAAGAAGTGGCCAATCTTTGTGACATGAATAATTTCATAACTACAAATCTCTCAGTTGTTTTATAAACTGTGGCAATATCCAGCCGGCTGCCAAGAATAGAAGATAGGATATTTCATGTCACAGAATCTGATGAGTTTATTGTTTTCCTAATCAGGTGTGGTCATAAAATACTGTTTTATTAAAAACAAACCTGCTTCCTTCTCATTTCATTGAACTATGAGAACAATTAGAGAAACAGAATTATGCTTGTCTCTTGCATTCAGAAAACAAACTGTCCTGCTAATCAAAGCTTCATACTTTACCAAGTGAGAGTTGAATTTTATTGCAACCATAACAGCAATCAGAAACTGGCAACCACAAAGGATTGTTTTCATTAGGCTTGACACATTGCTTTGCATTTTGAATACACTGAGCCAAAGAATCAGTACAATTTTGGGCTTTGTCTTATGTTGAGTTCAGTGTAAGCATGGAAGCTAGTTACTCTGAATGTTATATATTTACACAGCATGTTGAAGTCCTTTAGAATTTTATTATTAATAAATCTTAGACTTTTGAGAGAAAAATGTAGGATTGTAAGTTGGAGTATTTATGATTAACTTGGAATTTTGTGATAAGAATAACAGGCTTCAGATTCTCATGAGGAATTTTCAAAGTTGTTACATTGACATGTACACTATTTTAAGCCAAATGTTTGTAATTGGTTAAAGCATAATATGGAAATCTTACACAATGCACAATGTCAATAAATATGTCTATGTAAATTTTAAACATAATAAATGATAGAACATTTGCTTTTATCAGTGTATCTTTCTTCAATAATTTTTAGACCTTTTAAAAATTGGCAAGATACACTATGGAGGCAAGCAGTTTTTATTGTCTGACTTTTCAAAATTATAGAAATATATATTTTCATTAAAATGTCATCTCATTTCCTAATAAATGTTTTCTTGTGTAGTCACTTACTTGACATAGTTAGCATTAGTGACTACAAAAGATAGTTCATATAATAAATTGAGAATTGAGAAGAAGTTAGAAAAGGCAAGTAAATCTCTGTGTTTATCTCAATGTAATCCATGAAATTAAATTTATTGTTGGGTGGCAAAAAAATGTTTGAAATCTAACAATCAGATGAAAATATTAACAAATAGATTATCTCAGAAAATATTAGGAAATTTGAAATTCACTAAGCTGAACATGTGTCCAAATTTATTACTTAAATGGATTCAGTGAAAAAGATTTCATTATAGATACAACATGGTAGACCATATCACTGATTACTGTTAAATAGAGATTTAAAAATGCATAACTTTCTTACCAGTTATAAAAATTGACTAAAAATAGATTAAATACTTAAGTGTAAAACCTGCATCTATGAAACTATTACAATAAAATATATTGGACATATATCAAGATAATGACTTGGCCAGAATTTTTTTGAGCAAGATCCCAAAAGCACAGGAAACAGAAACAAATATAGAAAAACTGGATTATGTCAAGATAAGAAAGGAAGCAGTCAACAGAATGAAGGAACAACCTACAGGACAAAAGAACATTTTTTTCTAACTTTATATCTGATATGGGGTTAATATCCAGAATATGAAATTATCTCAAAAGAACTCATACACACACACACACACACACACACACACACACACATGCATGCACATATACAAATAACCTGATTTAGAAGTGGGCAATTGGGTCAGGTGTGTAATCCTATCTATAGAAGGGGCAGATATGGGAGGATGGTTATTACAGGCCAGCCCAGGAAAAAAAAGTTAGTGACACCCTATCTCAAGGAAGAAAAAGTAAGAGGCAGGACCCAGGCAAAAGTGGGAGATCTTACATGAAAAATAAACTCAACACAACAAGGGTTGAGGGTTATGGCTCAAGTGTTAGAGCACTTGCTTTGCATGCACAAGACTTTGGGTTCAATCCTAAAGACCACAAAAAAAAAAAAGACAAAGAATGACCAACATGTATATGAAAAACCATTCAACATCAGTAATCAAAGGGGAAATGGAAAGTGAAAATACAAATAGATATCACCATATCACCACACTGCAGTGAAAATGGCAAAGACTAATGATAAGTGTTTGTGACAATGTAGACTAAATGGAACTTTGTAACACTGTGGGAATGTAAATTAACACAGCCATGATTGACAAAATATTAAAAATAAAGTTACCATGTGATCCAGCAGTCCCACTACTGAATACATCTAAAGGGAATCAGTATGTCTGTCAAAGAGATATCTGCACTCCTCTGCTTATTACAACACATTCACAATAACCAAGACATGGCAACTAAGAGCCCACTAACTGATGAATAGATAAAGAAAATGTACGTCTATACACCATGGAAGACCATTCAACCAAAAAGACAGGATGAAATCCTGTTATTTGTGACAACATGAATGGAACTGAAAATCATTGTGATGACACAGAAGGACACAGTATTGCATGAATCTACTGAAATACATGTGGTATATTAAAAAAAAAAGCGATCTCATAGAAGTTGATAGCAGAATGGCAGTTACCAGAGGATTGGGAGAGTTGAGGTAGAAAAGGATGAAAAAAGGTTAATCAAAGAGTAATAGATTATATTTCAACAGAAGTAAGAAATGTGGGTGTGCTATAAAACAGTACAATGACTATACACAAAATTATATGCTATATATTTAAAAATGTAGAAGAAAGAAATTTTGAGCATTCCATCATAAAAACAATAAATATTCAAGATGAATATTTTTAACCTGACTTAAACATTATATAATGCATATATAATACACACTAGTTGAAATATTAACAGCTTTAACATAGCACTTTTAACAAACAAAAAAATTTAAAGTGTAAGGTGAAAATATATCATCTTAACTATTTTTAAGTGTTGAAGATGGCAGTGTTAAGCGTACTCATCTTTTTGGTCAACCAATCTTCATAACTCTTTTATCCTGTAAAATAAAATATGATACCCATCAAACAACTCCTGATCCTTTCCCTCAGCAGCTAACAAAAACATTCTACTTTCTGTTTCTATGAATTTGATGGTATTAGATAGCCCATATATCTGAAACCATACTTTATTTATCTTTGTATGACTAAACAGATTACCCTTCGTGTTTTGTTTATCAAGTCATCTATCCTCAGAATTGGATTGTTTTTACTTCTTAGTTTTTGTGAAAAGGCCTGCTTTACATATTTGTGTGCGAATATTCCTTCACAATTCTGCTTTCAATCTTTTGGAAGTATATCCAGGGGCAGAACTAATAGATAACATGGATAAATAATATTTTATTTTTTTATTCATTTATTTGTTACTTATTTTAAGCAGTTATATGTCATATGTTTATTTTCAGATCATTTATTTTACTATTTCCTTTTGTTATGTTTTATTTGGAGAGTGCTAGACTGTCGAAAACCTCAATCTTGCCTTTTCCACCTTCTGAATTTGGAAGCATAATGTTATCAGTGGTGACTTCTACACAAGGGATGGACTTATCTTCATCCTCAGTTTATGAACTTTCCTCTGAAGTCCCTTGTGAAAAACTTCTGAACTATCCTCTTCTTCTCAATATGACTGATTTATCTTAAATAAGGTCACATCCATTTGCATACTTTTTCTGAGAGGTCTAGCAATATTTTCAATAATAAAGTGGAGCAAATGCCATCTATATTTCTAGCTTTTCATTTGCCTGAGTTATTATAGGGAGAAAGATCTGAACTTGGTCTAATAACGGACTCATCGCTAACCCAACTGTTGGAAGATAGTGATCCTACAGGAAGTGGACTTAACATTAATGAGTAACCAGTCCCATATACTTCCTCTCCTTTGTCACTTTGAGATCCTCCCACTCCTACCTCCAGGTAGTTCCAGACGGATGAAGAGTAGCTCCAGCTGGCCAAAAGATCAGCATGGACTTCCATATCACGGCAGTCGGCATGCAGGAAAGAGGCTCCTGCAAGGAGTCAATTTTATTTCCCTTCTAAGGATCTTTATACTGTTTTCCATAGCAGCAGCAACATTTTACTTTCCCACCAAGTGTGCCCAGAGTTTACTGTTTCCTCAAATACTTCCCAGTAATTTCTATTGCTGTTTCTGCTTTTTTTTTCTCTGTTTTCTTGAATTTTTTCTTTATTTTTTGAGACAGTGTTTCTCTATGTAGCCCAAGCTGTCCTGAGACTCCATATGTATGTATGGGCTCAAACTTATGATACTTGACTCCTTCACCTCCTGAATACTAAGATAATAGATGTGTGCCACTGTGACCAGTCTGTTTGTTTCTGATGGTGTCCTGGTTAGTGGGTATCAGATAATAAATTGCATTGTGATTTTGACGTGCATTTCCCTGATTATGAGTACTTTTAATCATCCTTTTATATGTTCATGACAACTTGTTCAAATCTTTGGAGAAATGTCTGTTGAAGCACTTATCCCAATTTTAATTAGGTTATGTGGTTATTTGACTGTTGTTAAATTGCAGGGATGCATTGTGTCATAATTTTCAAATATTGTCTTCTATTACATAGTTTACCTTTTCCTTGTGTCCTTTGACACAATCACTGATTTTTGAAGTTACCATAACAAATACACTTTCTTCTTCCTAGTCTCATAAACCCATTTTCAAAATTGTGAGAAATATTTCACAGCAGGATTAAAAAGAATAATTAATAAGCAGTGGTCTAGGAAGTTATTTTATTATAATTAGCAAGCAACACTTCTGCATCATATTTAGCCAAACAAAATAATCACAAAAATGTCCCAAGTTCATCTGACTACTTTTTTACTTCCTGTTC